CTAAAGTGTAGCCCCGATCTTAACCTTTTCCACGTGATTTCTGCTACCATATAAATTTGTGATGTATTCGCAAAGATGAACAATCACAGAAAACGAGCTTTGTTCGCTACCTTCTTCGTTCTCATATTCTAACCTCCTCCTTGCTACTTATATTTTATAAGTAACGGGTGAGGATATTCTACCCACTTATGCTGGTTTTGTATTCAATGTATTTGTAATGAATAATCTCAAATTATAGTACAACCTGCTTGCTCAGCATAATTTACTTGTTTTTAGGGAAATCTTGGCTTTGTAAATCTTCCTTCCAAGAATACCTGTGAAAACTTCCAATGGTATAGGGGCGAAAACCGATAACCTAGTTCACTATGAAGTACTAGAACGCTGGTATTCAGAGTGCACTATCTGTCCATAATTTGTTTTAAACGTGTTATTATTCAGTAAGGTTCACATGCTAGTAAACTACTGTGGTCAGCCTAAAATGTATATTTTTAATCGCGATGTGTAAACCGTCATTCCATTCCCGATTACCGTTTAGTTTTCCCCGGCATGAACGATGAATTCAATCGCACTTGCCGCATTGCCGCACTCGCCTCGTAGTGGAGAGTAAACAACTGCCTTTTGAAACAAAATGCACTGCACTCGGTGGTATTTTTATTAGGGAAAATTTTATTTCAGAGGATGACTATGTTCCACTTAGTATCCATGACAAAACTAGTTAGCAGGTTTGACGGAGATTACACACCTTTCCATTAATTCATTTGAAATTCCCTGGGTAAGTCCCATCTAGATGAATTAAGTTTTCCAATCAAACCACGATCATTTATGCATAACTAGAATGCCTGAAATGTAAAACCAAACGAATTGGTGCTCCGTTTTAGGGAATAAACGGATTACTCATAAGGAAGCTCCATCTTATTAGGGTTTCCAGGGCTTTTAAACTATTGGTTGAGCTTGAGATGTCTCAATGGTTAAAGTGCGAAATAATCGACTGAAATGTACGTGGTTCGAACTCAACATCTGCGTCTCACCTGTCGCTGTCTAGGCCTAAGCCGATTTCGTGCTTTCTTCGAGTGACATGGTAGCCAATCAATGGACGTGTGTTACAGCCTAATGATTATCGCTGAACCATTAAACTACCGTCCCAATCTGAGCCGTTTTCCGTAAGTTGCAGGTACGCAAAAACACCAGCTTATAAGAGTATTTGTTTACATCATTTTTCGTCGCATTATGTGAAGTAACACGATGACCTCAAAAGATGACTATGGTTGTGTTTTTCTCTCCTGGAAAGTCCTCCGTGTAGTGACGGTTTCTCTTACTGGACTATGAAGGAAATTATTACGCTCCATATGCAAGAGATGTCATCATTTCGGCACGCTGCCTAGTAGTGATGTGAATGGAGTGGCGATGAAAACAGGAGCTCGTTGGAATGGTTCTAATCTGGTCTGAGTAGAATTCGATTTGTTAGTCCGTATCCACCACACATGAGCTTAGATTTCACTTCATTTCCCTAGCCTGGATTCGAACCATGAAATGCGATGTGCTCAGGTATCATATGTGACCGTTGGTATGTTCGCTGAGCTGAGAAATTTGGTTACGGACGTTCCTTCACCCATCGATGTGACACCATCAGTGCGCTGACAGAGAGTGCGGCATGGCGTAGAGACCCGTCGCTGTCACATCACTCAACTGGAGACATTATAACCCAGGCGGGGGCTGTTGGTGTGGTGGTAGTACGCCTGACTCGAACAAACACCAGCACGGTTCTAACACAGTAACTTCACCCTCGAAACACCAACCACCATACTTATTGGCCGTTCCAATTCAGGTAAACCTGGTATACTGTATGCTCACATCACTCTCGTTTGAACGGTCGTCCTCTTGTCCTGGCGCAATCATTGGGGTGAGTCCACACCAAAAGAGGTCAACAGTGGACTAGAGTTTCGCTCTTATTAGAGCTCACAGCAGCGTGCTTCCTTGGCCGTTTGAACTCCAATCATCTGACACACGAAGCGAGCGTGTTACCGCCACTACACCAGCGCACACTGGATAGATCTAAATTTTCATGTCATAACAAGCCCTTGAGTGATGCTTGTGGTAAGCCCGACGTCTCGGACGAAGACCTGGGTTGCAACCATCGACTGGTCCGCCATCACGACTTTCCAGTCAGGTGTTACCAAGCCTGCTAACACCCACAATTAAAGCTTCTACTCTCTAAAGGGGACGGAAATCAGCTCGACCCGCTAGCCAATGCAGAACTGCTAGAGATCAGTTCCTCCAATTTGACGGCGATTTGATATTTCGTACAGTTCAGGATGTAGTTTTGTTCTGTGCAGTGCTATTTGGTCCCTTCGATGGATGGTCTTACTCTAAGAATGATATCCCACAGGGGCAAAAGAATACGGAAAAATTTGAAACAACGCCCAAAATGTACTGGTGTTACCTAGTGGCATGTAATTCTCATTCCTAGCTTCCCTTGCACCATCTAGGGAGTGTTTACAGCTTACCAGCAGTTGTCTTTTGTGAACGCATGGCAAAACGCGACATCAGATTCACAGACCGAAAAAAGTCAGTCCAACGGCGCGTCTACAGTGGAACAGCGTGATGATTCTTCCAGAGCGTTAAAAACTAGTGAAATTAAACTGGCCCCTTAAGATATCAATTTATGGTATGGTTGTACTAACTGACAAACTGTCACTAATTTACTCCCAAGGTCAATAGCCCAACACAAGAATCCTAGCGAATGGTCACCTGTCTATTGTTAAGCTCGCGGGAACAACATATGGCCACAGACAGTGTATTTAGCGATTAAGTTAAAAGTCAGCTTTGACTCGATACAAATGTCACCGATTCATTTTACCAAGACATGTTGCGGAGGCCAACAAAGGCGTAAGAACGAAGTTGTGTGAATGAAAACAAAAACACCGGAAAGGCATGTGTCTAATAGTCCACGAGTGATAGGAAATGCGTTATTGTTACTCACAGTACTCAGATATGTTCATATCCTCCACTCCTGAGGAAGGAAAAGTCCATCCGTTTAAGCCAAAAGTGATAACTTCTGTGAAGCTGTCGCTGCTGAAGACAACCATACCAGTAAATACGCCACCAGCTCTTCTGACCGGTTTTCCGTCCTGGAGGAAGGGTTGTGTGATTTTTTGGACAGGGTCTTCCCTGTTCTTATCTTTCTTATCCACACGAGTAAATTCAGCCCTATGTTTTGTTGTCGTGGAGGGTTTATTACTAAATATTACTAAAACAGGCCATTCCTCACCCAGCGATAAGAGGAATATTTGTCTGATATTGATGCGTCGGTCGGAGAGTTATTATCATCAAACATTCCTCACAGACCAGGAGCGGTGGCACGACCCTCATTGTCCCTTGGGATTTCTGTATCGTTAGTAACCCCATGGCTCAGAATGTCCATTGTTTTTTAAACAACTTCCGTTTCCAGTGAGTTCCGCGTTTGATTCATACCCATAAAATCCATCGAGGGTCGTCGGTTAATTTTGGATTGACCATATTGAACACCGAAATGCTTTGTAAATTCACACTTAATTTAGTTCATCAGGCTGTTTGCGTATATGCATCCAAACGTTCGATTTGCAGGCCTGAACGACTCAGAACTCATGGTAGATTCTACCAACTACGATATAGTTTTTTGTTGAAATACCCCTGAAAATGACTGTTCTGGTCCTCAAATATGCGAATAAGTTGGCGAAATTCCAACGAGTGACTAAGCGAACCACCGGATGAAAGTGGGTAAGGTGGTTAACTGGTTTGAACATACGGCAAAATTATTACAGAAATGTACCTGGATAATTGTTTTCAGTATGTAGCTCAAAATGTTCTCTTTTGTTTTCGGACGTCCTTCTTCAGTTTGCAGTTGCCTGCGGGTGCACATCGCCAAGTGTCAACAGGGAAGCCAGCTTAAAATGTCTACAAAGTTTGCACCCAATTACCCTGGTGGACAACTTGGACAGTGTGGCGGAATTCGTGGGACAGAGGCGGCGAGGAAAACTGGTTCAGTTATTTGAGGATAGCCAGAAAGTTCCTGATAAAACGACGCTGTTGAGTTGGGCCGAATCAAGTAGAATGTATTTCGACGTTCCGTTCAAAGCTGTGGTTGATGGCTATGTGATCCCGAAACAACCCGAACAAATGTTCTCCCCAAATTTCCATACAAGCTTACGAAGGAGTCCAGAGCTACTCTTAGGTGTGAACAAGAACGAGGCCATGTATTTTCTTCTATACGGGCTGGCTTTGGGAAATGGGAGTTTCTTGCATGAAGACGGAAGTGTACTGCTCCCCGAGGCCATCCAATTGGCTGCCGCACGAAGGCCACAGAGCCCAAACGGTCCGTTGGCTGATTTTCACCGGATATCATCGGCGCAGTTTCTAAGCGAGGATCAACTCGTGCGGGGAATATCTCAGTTGCCATCATTCAGTTATGGACTTCCCGTAGATACCAGTCAAACTAATGGCTATGCTGATCCGAGTGACAGTAGAATGACGGCGGAAGCGCTCATGCATCGGCTGGACACACTTTGTGGTGAATTGGATTTCATCTGTCCTACGTTAAACTTTGCTGAACAGGTCGCACGAATCGCCAATTCTAAGGTCTTTTTGTACGAGATGCAGCGAAAAACTCTATCTTGTCCATTCCCATCTTGGACTGGAGTTATGCACGGTTATGAAATCGAATACGTGTTCGGAATGCCCTATTCGGAGAAATTTCAGAATTCATTCTATCGATTTAATGTGGAGGAGAAAAAACTGAGCGACGAAATGATGAGAATGTGGACCAATTTTGCCAAAAGAGGGTACGTTTAATGTTCTTGGTTTGCTGTGGTTTTGCACTAGGAATGTTTTTGCCGTATTCAACTTCATCAGATTGCGTGGACGAGTGAACCACTTTCTTGTACACTCTGCTTGAATAGGCGTTTAGACATTTGGAACAGCTGCATTTTATTTAGTTTTTGGTTACTTTGTGAACACATTTGGTGGATTAAGACGATGGTTAATTTCTTTCAGCTACAAATGGCATAGTTCACAACAGATGCAGCCCCATTGTGCTTCACTTAGTTGAATTTCGTGAACAGATATGGTCCATGTGGAATTCGGTAGGCATCGCTGTCTACATTTTGCCTGTCGTTGTGCAGTTGACTTAGGTCGGGTGAGTTTAGCAAATGATGCTGGACTGATCCTACTACTAACGCATGAGGCCCGAATTGGTCCAAACGTCTAGACCTGGTCGTCTTCCTTAGGGACAAAGGACCCTTTTGCACCAGGACTCTACCTTCTCTTTTCACTCCACTGTTCACTTAGGTCTTCTTCAATTCTGGTTTGTTGAAATAAGCGTCGGTATGTATTATCATTGTAATGCTGTCAGTGATGATCAAATGAAGACAAAATGTGAAAAGATACAATCACAATGGTGTTCGAGCGAATCCAGGTTGTCTCCTACCCATAATACTATCCATTGATTAGACGTGGTCGTCTCCCTTAGGGACAAAGGACCTTTTCGTACCAGGATTCTACCTTCTCTTTTCACTCCACTGTTCACTTAGGTCTTCTTCAATTCTGGTTTGTTGAAATAAGCGTCGGTATGTATTATCATTGTAATGCTGTCAGTGATGATCAAATGAAGACAAAATGTGAAAAGATACAATCACAATGGTGTTCGAGCGAATCCAGGTTGTCTCCTACCCATAATACTATCCATTGATGGGCGTCCCTGGAACTGTTGATCTATATGCCGATTTATCCACTATACTAAAACACTTGTATTTCATCACAGGGATCCCAACAGAAACGATGATGGTACAATCGGGGCTGTTGTCTGGCCGGCGTACAAAGCTGCGAAGCAACGCGATCCTGCTCTTGATTTGGACGACTACATCATACTGGACACTCCGATAAGACGGGGCAAAGACTTACGTCAAGCTGGCTGTCGATTCTGGCTCCATGAAATCCCCACGTTGGTTAAGGAACGGAGGTCAATGGATGATAACGGTTCATCATGTACGTACAAACTGTTCTTTTTCCCATGTATTTTAATGACAACGGCTTAACTGTGCAATCGGACGAAACACCCTCAGAATGGTTAAAATTGCCTGTAAACGAATGGATCACTCTTCGAGCAGTCGATCATGCCGTGATCTAAAATGTCCTCGTTTTTGCTCAGGGATTTCCACTGGTGTTTTCTACACTGTCTTTTACTTTTCAAGGGAGCAAAATTAACGAAATACACCGATTTTGATTTTGTGGGGGACTCACCTTGAACCTTGCTGAATCTCTCGTCTATGATGTGTTTAAGCGACCGAATGTGCTACACCAGCCCGCCTCATGTTTCAGTTGGTACGATATTCGAGATGTTGGGATATTAAATCAGCTAAACCAGAATACCATGTGAGGTTGTATTGATTAAGCGAGGCAAACTGAATTACCAACTGATTAATTTGTTCAGTCTAAAAAAAAATTGTAATCGATGGATTCAGCTGGGTTCCAGGTGAGTCTCCCTAAAAACCTGTGATTGCTTTAAAGGGACATCTTGTTGTCCTCCTTATTACCCATTTGTATTAGACAGTTCCCCTCAAAACTATCTTCCCCAGTATTTGGCTGCAGGAGCGTGGACCAGATAATTTATGCTTGTCCCCACCCTGACCCAATCATTCTTCGGCATTCAAGAAGACCAACAAGTTCGACCTGCTGACGGTTTCGTTTTTGTGGCAGAATATCCTGACATCCTGTTCATTTCTTCATCTGGTAATGCTGCTAAACAACTTGCAACTCCCGAAATACCACTTTGGATTTCATAAGAGATCCCACTGAATCTCTCGTTTATTATGTTCTTCTGGATTGTCGATGAGGTTCAGCAACCTCATAACTAGTGTGTTGCGCGTGTGATTGCGATTCAGCCGTAAAACTTCGAATTGAATTGCAAATAGATGCGCAGCACACCAACATCAAGTATTTGAGTCCCAAGATTCTTTCGGTTATCGATACTGGTTAACGGGCTAAATTTCCGTCACTGTACCCATCCTCCATATAAGTGAACTTTCTTGTGTATTCTGAACCGCTGCTCTCCGCTGGCAATAAATCTTCCTGTAAATTCTTGTCAGATAAAGATCAGCTTCTAAGTTTGGCACCTTTTCGGAATATTTTTTAACTTCTAACATAACAACATTTCTGAGAGTGTTTTAACCACCACGCTGTTGTTCTGTCCACTCAATCGTCATTACTGGACATCAAGAACCTCAAGCTTGATGAAAAATTTCTGCTGTAGTATTCTTTTGATGCTTAATTGCCATGCCACCTAAAGGAAACATGAGGGATTGGATATTGTTAGGTTTCTGAAACCTAGACTAGACAAGTCGAGAAGCAGAGGTCAGGTTAGAACCACGGACCTTCCAGTCAGTAAATCCGCACTCTAACCGCTGAGCTGTCTCGCCCACAAGCTTGTTGAGTAATCAGGAGTTAAGCTTAGCTTATTACTTTTCATCAGTGTTTTCATCGGTCACTTGAGCAGTTTCGAGACATATTTCGATATCATTAATTATATACGTATATATGTATATATATGTATATATATGTGTAATGTATACAATATGTTACATATTATATTACAATATTACAATATTACACATTAAATCATTAAACGGATTTTATAGATGAGCGATTAAGGTATATTGCAGTTGCTCCCCTCATCATCATCATCATCATAATCATTATGGCTAAGCTAACATCAGCGTTCAAACTGATGCATCGCTGTACGTGGCCTGGAATACTGTCAGGGCGCCCAGACCCAGACGAGAAATCGATATGTCCTCAACCAAAGCGTTTAACTCAAAAGCCCGACCACAAGGCAGCGTGTTTCGTGAGGAATGCATACTACTTTCATGGAGCAAATGGCAGCACAGTTTTCAACCCCCAACCTGGAGTTTAAAGCTTGCGAAAATTCAGCGGAGGTCGATTTAATAATGAACCCGAACGGATCATCAAAAAACCACTTTAAACTTTAGAAAAACTATGCAAGAACAACGTATGATCTCCATACGCTTTAGAGGAAGGAAATTTGTTCAACTGCTAGAGGACTAAAATAACCAGAAGGCGATGGTTTGCTAATTAACGACTGTCACTTCGGTCGAACAATCATGAAGGAATAGTACAAAGTGCCCACACGTTTTCCTACCTCCCTGGGGACTACCTATTCTTCGTTCACTTTTATGACGTGCCTGTTCTGTTGCCCCCAGTTTTATGGTTGTATCTTGCTTTGTCCCCTTCCAATCTGTTTCAGGCAACGATGCGATAACAATATTCAGTTCCAGGGCAATTATCGTCGTAATCTTCTTTTCAGTCCTGCCAACTATTCACTACACTGTCCAATAAAATTCCAGTGACAGACCAACTGAAACGCTGGCACTGAAACCAACCAATCAGACCACCACACAAAAGCAGATGGCAAACCCCGTGTGGACTATGCGTCGAGGGGTTGCGTCTTTTTACTCAAACACGGGTTTGACTCTGTTTCTCTTGTGTCCTGTTCTCATATTCTTTCTGTGAACCTAGGAACAGTATTTAAGCGCCAATATTTTGTCCTGTTTTAGTCTTATTGATCTTTTTTTAAGTTAATTTTCCTCCGCTCATTCGTCTCCTTCGTCTGTGACGATAGATTGGCTACTTACACCTTTTTTCAATTCTAGTTTACTTTCGGTTCCTGCCGGATCGGTGATTTTTCCTGCGTACTTGGTCAATAAAACTGGATTTGTGTTTTTCAGACTTTTCCGAAATATAGAGGGAATAATTTCCGGATGTTCTCGTAGGTACATCGTGAATCTTGGCGCCTGCAAACAGCAGCAGAGAGACTTTCGTTTCGTTATTTTTGGTAATAAAACTTCATACACAGGTTTAAAAACTGTCATAGGTGGAAATCGTCAGGATAAACCCACACCTTGCTACAGCACGCTGATGTTGCTGGAACAAATTTTAGGCTAACTCAATTACGGGACTTTGACACATGACGGAGAAAAAGGCAAACAAGGCAAGATCACCGACCTAGTCCAACAAGATAAAAACTGATAGAACTCACACATGCAATCTTTAGAAAAACGAACGAAAACATCCCAAGATGATAGTACTAGGACTTCCGGCCCACGCTAAGTAAACTGATAATATTCATACTTTCGTGGATTCCAATTTCTGAAAATGTATATTTTTTGCGGGTGAAAACTAACGGCGGTCATCCGGGAAAAGTTGCGAATCTTTAGAGAAAACTCTTCTGAATACGATTGAATTCGGTAAGCCACAGCTTCAAGGGGTGACCAAGGTGGATTTTTTCAAAATCCACATTATCGTCAGTTTTGTGTGGATTTAAAATAATTGGGCGCTGCTCAAACTAAACCATTGAAACATACCTGAAAGTGATCACGTATTGTTTAATTGTTTGCAATTATGATGCAAAATTTCGTCATTTTCTTTCCTGTGGCTCTCCTTTGGTGCCTAGCCACCATGCCACTCAAAAATCAAGAGGACTGTTATTCTCAGGTCGCCCAGGCCTAGACAGGTGCAGAAGTTGTGTCAGAAAAAGATACCTTCCGGTCAGTTTCGCACCTTGACCACTGGGTTACCTCGAGCTGCGACCGTACTCTAATCACTTCTGATCCATTGAAAGGGTGTGTGACAGCGTAACGTCCTCTGGCAAGATGACCTTCTTAAATGTGTCTCTTCAGCATAATCGGCAAGACTCTAATGTCAACTTAGAGTAAAAATGGGCAGAGCGTTGCTGAGGATGTTTTGCAACCCTGTATACGCATCATGGAACTTGTGTTGACAACATTTCAACCGGAAATCAGACACCTTGGTTTTGTCTCCTAGCTGATGGACACTCACAGTATCTGTTCAGGAGATTCCCCTACATTCTCTTACCATCCATTGATAACCTCTTCGATTCTTCGGCAATTTCTACTTAGTACACGACAATTCGAAATTAAATAGCCTGGTTCTGCTTTCGGCCGTGACTTCTCAGTCGTTATTCAGCCTTTTTGTGCGCTCTGATTTCACGCTGTATCGGTTCACAAATAGCGTAAGTGATTACATTGTTCGCTCTTCGAGGAAAAATCGAGTTAAGCAACCGGGGTGGATTAGTCTGTCTGGTCCGGATCCCTGACTGTCTGTTTAGATTAGCTTAGTGATTGATCATTATTGTATTTTTTTCACGGTTACTGAGTCCCCGTTCATCGAGCAACACGGCTGAACAGACGCACAAATGATTGTTTTCGCACAAGTTAGATTGGCTAGAGGTCTTTATATCTGGAAACAGGTTGGTCCGCCACTGTGATTGGGGCAAAACAGAAGTCTAGTTCAATTGGTGTGTGCTATTCCGTGGCAATTACTTGTCGGTTCTTCTGCGAGGCAAGCTGCAGTGAAATGAATTTTGAGCAGTCCGTTGAGTGTTGGAAATAGTTGGTCTTCGCCTTGTAAAGGTTCGTACCGACTGATTTTGGTAAGCTGGATGGCCTGACGTTCAGGCTCAAAAGCAAATATTGTTAACTTCGACATCGCCAGGCTGCAGACCGCATTTGCGGGTGTGGTGAAGGTAGTTCAGCGAGATGATATGTTTCCAAGTCCTAAGAAATTCGTTGTATCAGCTAACTCAGCTCCACTGGTTCACGTGGAATGTTTATCCAATAGTGACTGTTGATGAATGAATCCCGGGTCGGAAGAAAGCAGGAGGGAAGCACCACCAGATGCTCCACTGGATTAAACACAGATATATTTGAATGCAAAAACGAATGGCGTGCACTGAATGTCTCATAGACGCTTATCGCTGACCGTGGACGAGGGGTTGGTAATCCAATGCTCGCAACGAAAATCTCAGATGGAGTGGATACTGGATTTTAGTGGTATGGGTCCCAGTGAATAGCAAGACAATGTTGCCTCGAATTCTAGGCATACAAATCATTGCGAATTTCCAGAAGAGGGTACCCACGGGATAAGTCCGTTCACAGCGTGATGACTCCAGATTAACCGAATAGAATATTCCAAATGACCGAATATAAAGTCTGTCTCAGAGACTGCGGTGCCACTTAAATCGACGAGGTGAAAAGGCAACCGGGGGTACGAACTTCAGAATAAATGATAGGAAATACTCGCTTAGTCATAAAGATCCCTTCACTGTGATGCAGCGCGAAGAAAACAAGATAACTGCTGGATCGCTCCAATTCAGACAGGAGCAATAAAATACCCGGAATTCAGCATGAAATACGGACGTTCCTTTTTTCGTCCTAGTCGTTGGTGAATTTCCAGTCCGAGAGTTGGTGAGCAAAAGTGGCGCGAAATTTCCACTCCAGAGTCCACCTTCATGTTGAAAGCTTGAACAAAGCTTTGCGTCTCAGCAGAAAACTATACAGTCGAAATGGGTCACCGACACATTCGTGGACTATTTGGTAGTCCACCTCCAAACCAATTGTGTGAATGCGAATAGAGGAACGGCATAGGCGGGACGTGGATGAGGTCGTTAGTGGAAACAGTGAACAAAGAAATCGTCCTGGTGTACATTCTAACCCCCCCCCTAGGAACGTTCGTTTGTACACCATGTCCCTTTTGTGGCGAACGGTCCGATCGAGCACACATGTGACAGGATAGAAGTAGCTTGTGTGCGAGTTCTGATTTCCGTCTAATATATGCGATGCAACTTCGGCCGCCGATCACATTTTACTGCTCTTAACACGACAAGTATAATCGATAAAGTAATTAATGAGGGAAAGTCCAGTTTTCAACTCTGCTCGCATCCTGAATTAGTCATTCCGGGGGGAGCTTTATTTCGGTGTGTCACTTTTCTAGAAAAACGCGTATTTGCGAAAATAAAAAGTGGGGCATTGTCAAAATGAAGGATGAGCTTGTTTCACTCATAACAAAATTGATTATCTTAATGACCTAGCAAATAGCAGGAGAGCAGTAGTAGAGAATGGAAAGATCAGCGACATGCTGGCGACCAGTTTCACGATACGCCGCCAAGTTACCAAATTCAAGCCAAATGTCTTGTACGTCTTGGATGTCAACAGGCCACATAACCAGATGGTGGATTATGAAAATTTCAGTCATACTACTATCTACTCAATTCAGACATAAGTGGATGAACATAATTGAGTGTTCAACACTGTTTCAATACCGAAATGTTTGCCAACCTTTTCCAACAGAAGTATCTTCCTCTGGCAACCTCAGTAGTTCCGAATCCGTAAATAATCAGGTCTTATGGCTGACTGGGTTTTTGAAGTAAAAAACTTGTTGTCAAAAACAAACATGACAGTTTTACTCAGCTCGAATTAGGAGATGGATACTACCTATCAGCTTTTCTGAAGTACTTTCGAAAATTTCCTGAAACTTCCCTAGTTGAACACAAAAACGCAAGCGCATTTAAGTCTGCTGTTTGTGTTTTCGAAAGTGGATGCAGCTCGGTGGGCATTTCTAGAAAGGAATTGCTCGTTTTTCTGAGCGTCGAATGCAGGAGGTTGCTCTGTTGATGCTTTACGTTTTATAGAGCCGCGCACGTGAAAGAATCATCACTTCCAGTTTGCCGAACATAACTGTCACCAAAAAAAACCGTGAGAACTTTGCACTTTTCACCTAACAATGTAATAGTCGTGTGTTGAGTTTGAGAAAAAATGTCCTCAGAAAGTTATCTAAGCAACATTCTGCGGTATTGATCTTAGTCCCACGGTGACTGCTTTGCGACGTTTCTGAAAAGCAGTTTACACAGTTGAAAGATGAAATAACAACACATATCTTCATTTCACGCAAGATACACGGGTGTCTTCTGTAGCGCCACGTGCGTTGTTTTCCACCCGGTTTCAGTTGCTCACATCCACGGTGGTCCACAACTTCGCAGGGGTATTTAGTCTGTACTTTGCTGCTGTAGTTTGATGCATTTTGGTCTCGTGTCATAGTATTCTGTTTATTACGTCACAGCCCTTGTCGACTTCTTGACCTGAAATCTCACATAATGGGCGATGAAGGTGCCATATTGTTGTATAGGCAAGTCAGTACTCTTCATCCAAAGTCTATGACATTCACCCCGCATACTCGCAAGCAGAATGGGATTATTAGCTTGCCATGATTCAAAACGGTGATTCTTTGATTCACCGATTCTCCCCGAGACAAACCTTCTGAATCTGGCCTCTTCATCATATGCATTCGCGTGGGCAGCATTTTTAAATAGAAAAGACTGCTATTAACAACCACCCATAATTGAACCCAAAACTTGTCTGATTTAGATGGCTGGAACTTATATGGGTGGTATCGGGCTTTTACGAGATCAGTAGACACCGACACAAAAAGATTAGGCCAGATGTAAAAGCAAAAGCCACACCTAACCCAAACCCAAAAGAACCGAATTTTTTATGTGACTCTTCAATTCCAAGCTTGAATGAAGTTTGTCTTATCTTATCTATGGGTGCCATGAGGAATTATATGTTCCGCCACAGAAGAGAATAATTAAACTGCCCATCAAGCACAAATGTCTTGCATAATTAGCGGAGTGGATTTTCAAGCTTAGTAGAGCTTTAATGAGCCATGCATATGTTCACGCGACTTCCACATTACGACATCACACAGAACATGACTGTTGGGTCTGGGGAATTCGATGAGGATATTGAAGTGGG